TGATTTCCAAAAAGTCTGCCTCCCGCAGCTCAAACAGAACGCATGCGTAGATTGCAAAGTCTTTAATAAACCTGCTGTAATAATAAAAATTCTCGAAAACGACTGCATCGATCACAGTGTTTGAGGGAATGGGATCTTCACCAGCGTTTTCAGATCCTTCCGGTGATCTTCCCAGCCGTCAAGTGACACCTGATCACTAAGATAATCCACTTTCCTACGTTCCCAAAAACATGTAGCTTGGCTGATCTATAGATTCCACATTAGTAAATTCTTGACCTTTTTAAAAAAGGGAGGTCCACGAAGTAGCGGAAATCATAATGTCACCGAAATAGGATTGACGGCCCAGCACAAATCAATTTTGCTCTGTATCAGGCTAGCCACCCTATACTATCGATCAACTACAGCGGTTTTTTCGTGGATATTTTGATTTCGGACTCAATTTTCTGATATTCATACAAGGCGTTATCAATTAAACGCTTCGATAAATATTTGTGGAGCATTCTTCAGCCCAAAAGGCATTCTTAACCTCTTGGCAGACCCTAAGGGCTTATAAACGCTGTGATCATTCCTGCTAGCTCCTTAATTTCTACGATCCAAAATCCAAATTGCCATAGACAAGGAACAATAACCCTTATCCATGTCTTCAAGATGCTCGCTGATCAGAGGCATAGTGTACACCATCAATCTTGAAAGATAGTTTACACATCATTAATCAATACACAATCTGATATCAATGCCGTTTTCTTTTGTTCATTACCACGATCTGCGATGCCCAAGGAAAAAAAGTTAACGGGAGGATGGTCTTATTAATAAGGCTTTGATCAGATCTTTAACCCCTCCCAAAATTTAGGCGCTACCGGTCGTACACGTTTCGCGATCGAGGCACCTTCACCAATATCGATATCACAAACTGCACCACGTGCTGCAGGAGGAAGTGCATTACCATTACCCACTAAGAGGTGGCGGTTTTTCCAAAAAAGCTGACGCGACCATTCTTGATCCTTGGTCAATGGCACGTCTTCATCGCACACTTGAATATCCTAAATAGTGACTTCTGTTGAAGGGGTTACAACTTCCGGTAGGATCGCCATGTATTGATCCACATATTCCACATATAACTCGCCACCTTCGTGAAAGTAGCTCCTGCGTTTTTTTATTATCTACCAAAGGTTTCCCCGTAGCGAATAAAGTTGACATGTTGGCCAGTGAATCGCACTGACTTAGAGTTAACCCACCTACGTCCTGCACTTTAGAGTGGATCGCGCTCGACTGTGGTGTAAAAGCAGTATGATCCGTTTGCTTCGAAGGTTGATCGACGTCCCCAAGTATTATGTTAACGTTGATCCCAAAATGTGCTTTTGGTAATTCTAGATTCTTACACTCATTACCATGTTCTTCCTTCTTAATCACGTCCTCATCGACTAACGATGCAGCTTCCGCCGACTTTGTAGCCCTTCCTTGTAATAATTTATCCGGCGGCTATTGTCTTTGTTGATGTAGCATATTGCGGATGATCGACGAGCAATCCAGTCTCTTTCTCCACCATTCCTTCTTTCTTATCCACCGTAGCTTTTAATGCAAGTATTTGTCATTCAATGTAGCGTCGCGATCCAACAGAAACATAACCTGAATAGTGGTATCATACTACTAGCCATCCACAGACCCAAAGGCGATCAATGTTGAAGCATCACCTTTCGCTCACTGACGTTTGTCAGGTGCAGATTTTTAGTCCTTTAGTGACAGCTCGCACCCATTCAGGATCGGGCCTTACCCAAAGCTTAGCCTTGGGCAAGCCTATACTGATTCTCACCCCTGCCGATCCTCCCAGCGGGATTACCACATGCTGATCGTTCACATTGATTGCTTGCATAGTGCATCAATGCGGCGTACTTCGTCTGCCAATTTAATTCTGACTCCATCCTGCAAACAAAGCGTTTCATCTGCCAAATCCACACGTATAGTAGCTGTATAGGGCCAAGGATAGGGGCAACTTTTGCAATCCTTCCTTCTGTGCCTGTGACATGCCACCCGCGGAAATCTCTTCGAAGTCCATCCTCATGCAGAGAAGAAGTCACAAATCCAGGGGCGGGATTTAGTACAAGTGCTACCAGGTGTAGCAGATCTACAGTAGCAAAGCTACTTATGCACTATGTGCAGAGGAAGACAAGCTCCAAAAAGCTTATACGTCTTAGGGTGTTTAACCTTCATCGGCTAGCCTATCGATTGTTACAACCGGGTCTCAAAGAGACAAGTATCAAAAATACAAATTCCTTGTACAGGAAATGAAACGCTCAAGCAGTAATGCTTTCAGAACAGGTTTGAAACTGATTTATATTTATGTCTAACTTTTAGCACACAATGTAGAGGCACCTACTCTATACTTAGTGCAAGTCACTATTACTGGCTCTGTAGCCTATTAATATGCAATCTAGTATAGTCGCTATACTTAACTACGCATTGTGACCAAGTGGTTATCTATCTGATGCGACCCTTCGTACATACGGTACGGTCACATCGACTTACTAACTTCACACAAGGTACAGCAACACCACCTTGTTGTGGCAGGTGTGTATGTAAAATGCACACTTTCGTGTAACCCGGTGCTCTTGCCAGATTTTTGGGGGTTGACATAGACTATCCATTCATTAACCATGCCTTTTCAACTTTGCCCACGATAGCGTGCTGCATCAGGATGGATAACTAGATTATATATACCTTTATGGAATGACTACTCTATAAAGTATGACCAACTCGAACATGAGCTCAAAGCGGCTTGCTCACTCATTACTCATTCTTACATTTACGGTCTCAAGCTCATATTGAAGCCAAGTCCAATACCAATCTCTTTTTTCGTTTCATCGGACCATCTTTCTAAGCAGCCATTCCAGCCATGTTCAACAGTGGCAAGATCTTCGCTGTGTGCACCGCCGTCGTGGCCGTTTCCAGTAGCGTATATGCTGAGAAGGAAGCTGCCGAGACCTTTGGTGGTTTACATGGTTTCCACGGCGTGGGTATGGGCGTGGGAGTCCCGGGTATCGCTGGTGTCGGAGTTGGTGTGCCAGGCCTTCTCGGTGTCGGGTATGGTGTTGGCGTTAATGGCGTTGGGGTCGGTGTCGGCGTTCCGGGTGTTGCTGTCGTTGATAATGGTGCTGGAGACGGCTACTATACGGCTAACAGAGGTGGTGCCAGCGCCGGTGCGTCAGCTAACGCCGGTGCTTCAGCAAGTGCGTGTAAGTGCCGGTGCCGGTGCCACTGCGAGTGCCAGTGCAAGTGCTTCTGCAAAGGCCGGAGCTGGTGCCACTGATGGGTACCGCAAGCTTCGGTCGGCGGCGTGAAATGGTTAAATATATTGTATCGGCCGAATATGTCGTCCTTTTAACTTGCCGTGTTCATGTTGCCGAATACAAGTAGTCTAGTGTACGCTTCCAGTTTAAACGAAAGTAAAAGGTTGTGTTGTCGAATATGTGCTATTACTTGTTGTACATGTAGACTGGAACTGTAGCCAGGTAAACGTATGCAACGATTGCATTGAAACTACATGTGGGGTCTCCTATATTAACCCTAAGAAATGTACTAGGCCCTTTCCATCGTATGAGCTTCCAAGAGTAGTAGTTGCAACACCGTCGGCAGCAGCACAATGCAAAACTGTCCCTCATTTAGCGACATGATCGAACGGTACGCCACATGCAAATCCGGTTGTTCGTACATTTCGGAACTGTATGCGCAAAGGTAGATTGTTAGTGTGCAGACAAATAGTTCATCCTTTACGCCAGGCAATCAAAGCACTCATGCACTCGCTGTCTTGTAGCAGTCACCGGCTACCCGTACTCACGAAAACACTACTAGATCAGAAATGTGCAACGCCTACAAGATACCTGTATCCGTCGAATCGGTCGTAAATCGTATTCAACCTGCCTGCAATCGTGGAAAAACAAGACCTGCAAAAGTCACAACTAAAGCAAGCTCGCTATCAGAAAGCCATTCACGTATCAGCATAGTCGTCATCTACATGTTGTATACTTCAAGTCGAAAAGACGCTAGGATATTCAAAAAACAAACAGAATATTCGTGTTTGATTCTTTGAATCGTACAAAACAGAACTATTTCGTGTTGTTTTCATGTCAGGCCCGCAAACACGTAGTCTTACAACAGAGTAGCTTCTTTTGTACAAGAAATGTGCTAAAACTTGATAGGCGGACTCTGCTCATCCAGGGCGTACATCTCGATCTCTAAACTACTCATGGCTGCAAGCTTGTGGCACTCTCGCACGAAGTGCATGCCGAAAGACAAGCGACCCATACGTTTAAAGTTGGTATGGATAGTGTTGTTGTACGGATAAGAGAACGGAACAGTGTTTGATACTACGATAAAATGAGAGAGCTTTCAATACGGTCTTCAGATTTTCTTTTGGAGCACCACTTCGACATGAAAAATACATAATGTAACAAAATTAACTAGCATGAAACCACATAGGATGACCGACATTTGCTCATACGTTTGTGCCTTCGACAAAGATGGCAAACAATGCTGATACATGTCCGCTTACCTTCCGCAATGTTTAAGATACTGCATGATCCTGTACGTGACACAGTGCGATTGTTTATCGCAGCACACAGTTGTCTTGCCAGTCACGACAACAAAAAACATATGGATAATGCTGACCATAATAAACCACTTGCTGAATACGTCGTGTTTGCCTCATGTTGCGGGTAATCTAGCCAAGATTTTTGGGGGTTGACATAGACTATCCATTCATTAACCATGCCTTTTCAACTTTGCCCACGATAGCGTGCTGCATCAGGATGGATAACTAGATTATATATACCTTTATGGAATGACTACTCTATAAAGTATGACCAACTCGAACATGAGCTCAAAGCGGCTTGCTCACTCATTACTCATTCTTACATTTACGGTCTCGAGCTCATATTGAAGCCAAGTCCAATACCAATCTCTTTTTTCGTTTCATCGGACCATCTTTCTAAGCAGCCATTCCAGCCATGTTCAACAGTGGCAAGATCTTCGCTGTGTGCACCGCCGTCGTGGCCGTTTCCAGTAGCGTATATGCTGAGAAGGAAGCTGCCGAGACCTTTGGTGGTTTACATGGTTTCCACGGCGTGGGTATGGGCGTAGGAGTCCCGGGTATCGCTGGTGTCGGAGTTGGTGTGCCAGGCCTTCTCGGTGTCGGGTATGGTGTTGGCGTTAATGGCGTTGGGGTCGGTGTCGGCGTTCCGGGTGTTGCTGTCGTTGATAATGGTGCTGGAGACGGCTACTATACGGCTAACAGAGGTGGTGCCAGCGCCGGTGCGTCAGCTAACGCCGGTGCTTCAGCAAGTGCCGGTGCCGGTGCCACTGCGAGTGCCGGTGCCGGTGCCACTGCGAGTGCCAGTGCAAGTGCTTCTGCAAAGGCCGGAGCTGGTGCCACTGATGGGTACCGCAAGCTTCGGTCGGCGGCGTGAAATGGTTAAATATATTGTATCGGCCGAATATGTCGTCCTTTTAACTTGCCGTGTTCATGTTGCCGAATACAAGTAGTCTAGTGTACGCTTCCAGTTTAAACGAAAGTAAAAGGTTGTGTTGTCGAATATGTGCTATTACTTGTTGTACATGTAGACTGGAACTGTAGCCAGGTAAACGTATGCAACGATTGCATTGAAACTACATGTGGGGTCTCCTATATTAACCCTAAGAAATGTACTAGGCCCTTTCCATCGTATGAGCTTCCAAGAGTAGTAGTTGCAACACCGTCGGCAGCAGCACAATGCAAAACTGTCCCTCATTTAGCGACATGATCGAACGGTACGCCACATGCAAATCCGGTTGTTCGTACATTTCGGAACTGTATGCGCAAAGATAGATTGTTAGTGTGCAGACAGATAGTTCATCCTTTACGCCAGGCAATCAAAGCACTCATGCACTCGCTGTCTTGTAGCAGTCACCGGCTACCCGTACTCACGAAAACACTACTAGATCAGAAATGTGCAACGCCTACAAGATACCTGTATCCGTCGAATCGGTCGTAAATCGTATTCAACCTGCCTGCAATCGTGGAGAAACAAGACCTGCAAAAGTCACAACTAAAGCAAGCTCGCTATCAGAAAGCCATTCACGTATCAGCATAGTCGTCATCTACATGTTGTATACTTCAAGTCGAAAAGACGCTAGGATATTCAAAAAACAAACAGAATATTCGTGTTTGATTCTTTGAATCGTACAAAACAGAACTATTTCGTGTTGTTTTCATGTCAGGCCCGCAAACACGTAGTCTTACAACAGAGTAGCTTCTTTTGTACAAGAAATGTGCTAAAACTTGATAGGCGGACTCTGCTCATCCAGGGCGTACATCTCGATCTCTAAACTACTCATGGCTGCAAGCTTGTGGCACTCTCGCACGAAGTGCATGCCGAAAGACAAGCGACCCATACGTTTAAAGTTGGTATGGATAGTGTTGTTGTACGGATAAGAGAACGGAACAGTGTTTGATACTACGATAAAATGAGAGAGCTTTCAATACGGTCTTCAGATTTTCTTTTGGAGCACCACTTCGACATGAAAAATACATAATGTAACAAAATTAACTAGCATGAAACCACATAGGATGACCGACATTTGCTCATACGTTTGTGCCTTCGACAAAGATGGCAAACAATGCTGATACATGTCCGCTTACCTTCCGCAATGTTTAAGATACTGCATGATCCTGTACGTGACACAGTGCGATTGTTTATCGCAGCACACAGTTGTCTTGCCAGTCACGACAACAAAAAACATATGGATAATGCTGACCATAATAAACCACTTGCTGAATACGTCGTGTTTGCCTCATGTTGCGGGTAATCTAGCCAAGATTTTTGGGGGTTGACATAGACTATCCATTCATTAACCATGCCTTTTCAACTTTGCCCACGATAGCGTGCTGCATCAGGATGGATAACTAGATTATATATACCTTTATGGAATGACTACTCTATAAAGTATGACCAACTCGAACATGAGCTCAAAGCGGCTTGCTCACTCATTACTCATTCTTACATTTACGGTCTCGAGCTCATATTGAAGCCAAGTCCAATACCAATCTCTTTTTTCGTTTCATCGGACCATCTTTCTAAGCAGCCATTCCAGCCATGTTCAACAGTGGCAAGATCTTCGCTGTGTGCACCGCCGTCGTGGCCGTTTCCAGTAGCGTATATGCTGAGAAGGAAGCTGCCGAGACCTTTGGTGGTTTACATGGTTTCCACGGCGTGGGTATGGGCGTAGGAGTCCCGGGTATCGCTGGTGTCGGAGTTGGTGTGCCAGGCCTTCTCGGTGTCGGGTATGGTGTTGGCGTTAATGGCGTTGGGGTCGGTGTCGGCGTTCCGGGTGTTGCTGTCGTTGATAATGGTGCTGGAGACGGCTACTATACGGCTAACAGAGGTGGTGCCAGCGCCGGTGCGTCAGCTAACGCCGGTGCTTCAGCAAGTGCCGGTGCCGGTGCCACTGCGAGTGCCGGTGCCGGTGCCACTGCGAGTGCCAGTGCAAGTGCTTCTGCAAAGGCCGGAGCTGGTGCCACTGATGGGTACCGCAAGCTTCGGTCGGCGGCGTGAAATGGTTAAATATATTGTATCGGCCGAATATGTCGTCCTTTTAACTTGCCGTGTTCATGTTGCCGAATACAAGTAGTCTAGTGTACGCTTCCAGTTTAAACGAAAGTAAAAGGTTGTGTTGTCGAATATGTGCTATTACTTGTTGTACATGTAGACTGGAACTGTAGCCAGGTAAACGTATGCAACGATTGCATTGAAACTACATGTGGGGTCTCCTATATTAACCCTAAGAAATGTACTAGGCCCTTTCCATCGTATGAGCTTCCAAGAGTAGTAGTTGCAACACCGTCGGCAGCAGCACAATGCAAAACTGTCCCTCATTTAGCGACATGATCGAACGGTACGCCACATGCAAATCCGGTTGTTCGTACATTTCGGAACTGTATGCGCAAAGATAGATTGTTAGTGTGCAGACAAATAGTTCATCCTTTACGCCAGGCAATCAAAGCACTCATGCACTCGCTGTCTTGTAGCAGTCACCGGCTACCCGTACTCACGAAAACACTACTAGATCAGAAATGTGCAACGCCTACAAGATACCTGTATCCGTCGAATCGGTCGTAAATCGTATTCAACCTGCCTGCAATCGTGGAGAAACAAGACCTGCAAAAGTCACAACTAAAGCAAGCTCGCTATCAGAAAGCCATTCACGTATCAGCATAGTCGTCATCTACATGTTGTATACTTCAAGTCGAAAAGACGCTAGGATATTCAAAAAACAAACAGAATATTCGTGTTTGATTCTTTGAATCGTACAAAACAGAACTATTTCGTGTTGTTTTCATGTCAGGCCCGCAAACACGTAGTCTTACAACAGAGTAGCTTCTTTTGTACAAGAAATGTGCTAAAACTTGATAGGCGGACTCTGCTCATCCAGGGCGTACATCTCGATCTCTAAACTACTCATGGCTGCAAGCTTGTGGCACTCTCGCACGAAGTGCATGCCGAAAGACAAGCGACCCATACGTTTAAAGTTGGTATGGATAGTGTTGTTGTACGGATAAGAGAACGGACCAGTGTTTGATACTACGATAAAATGAGAGAGCTTTCAATACGGTCTTCAGATTTTCTTTTGGAGCACCACTTCGACATGAAAAATACATAATGTAACAAAATTAACTAGCATGAAACCACATAGGATGACCGACATTTGCTCATACGTTTGTGCCTTCGACAAAGATGGCAAACAATGCTGATACATGTCCGCTTACCTTCCGCAATGTTTAAGATACTGCATGATCCTGTACGTGACACAGTGCGATTGTTTATCGCAGCACACAGTTGTCTTGCCAGTCACGACAACAAAAAACATATGGATAATGCTGACCATAATAAACCACTTGCTGAATACGTCGTGTTTGCCTCATGTTGCGGGTAATCTAGCCAAGATTTTTGGGGGTTGACATAGACTATCCATTCATTAACCATGCCTTTTCAACTTTGCCCACGATAGCGTGCTGCATCAGGATGGATAACTAGATTATATATACCTTTATGGAATGACTACTCTATAAAGTATGACCAACTCGAACATGAGCTCAAAGCGGCTTGCTCACTCATTACTCATTCTTACATTTACGGTCTCGAGCTCATATTGAAGCCAAGTCCAATACCAATCTCTTTTTTCGTTTCATCGGACCATCTTTCTAAGCAGCCATTCCAGCCATGTTCAACAGTGGCAAGATCTTCGCTGTGTGCACCGCCGTCGTGGCCGTTTCCAGTAGCGTATATGCTGAGAAGGAAGCTGCCGAGACCTTTGGTGGTTTACATGGTTTCCACGGCGTGGGTATGGGCGTAGGAGTCCCGGGTATCGCTGGTGTCGGAGTTGGTGTGCCAGGCCTTCTCGGTGTCGGGTATGGTGTTGGCGTTAATGGCGTTGGGGTCGGTGTCGGCGTTCCGGGTGTTGCTGTCGTTGATAATGGTGCTGGAGACGGCTACTATACGGCTAACAGAGGTGGTGCCAGCGCCGGTGCGTCAGCTAACGCCGGTGCTTCAGCAAGTGCCGGTGCCGGTGCCACTGCGAGTGCCGGTGCCGGTGCCACTGCGAGTGCCAGTGCAAGTGCTTCTGCAAAGGCCGGAGCTGGTGCCACTGATGGGTACCGCAAGCTTCGGTCGGCGGCGTGAAATGGTTAAATATATTGTATCGGCCGAATATGTCGTCCTTTTAACTTGCCGTGTTCATGTTGCCGAATACAAGTAGTCTAGTGTACGCTTCCAGTTTAAACGAAAGTAAAAGGTTGTGTTGTCGAATATGTGCTATTACTTGTTGTACATGTAGACTGGAACTGTAGCCAGGTAAACGTATGCAACGATTGCATTGAAACTACATGTGGGGTCTCCTATATTAACCCTAAGAAATGTACTAGGCCCTTTCCATCGTATGAGCTTCCAAGAGTAGTAGTTGCAACACCGTCGGCAGCAGCACAATGCAAAACTGTCCCTCATTTAGCGACATGATCGAACGGTACGCCACATGCAAATCCGGTTGTTCGTACATTTCGGAACTGTATGCGCAAAGATAGATTGTTAGTGTGCAGACAAATAGTTCATCCTTTACGCCAGGCAATCAAAGCACTCATGCACTCGCTGTCTTGTAGCAGTCACCGGCTACCCGTACTCACGAAAACACTACTAGATCAGAAATGTGCAACGCCTACAAGATACCTGTATCCGTCGAATCGGTCGTAAATCGTATTCAACCTGCCTGCAATCGTGGAGAAACAAGACCTGCAAAAGTCACAACTAAAGCAAGCTCGCTATCAGAAAGCCATTCACGTATCAGCATAGTCGTCATCTACATGTTGTATACTTCAAGTCGAAAAGACGCTAGGATATTCAAAAAACAAACAGAATATTCGTGTTTGATTCTTTGAATC